CGATGAAGGCGCGTCTGTCTCGGTTCACGGTGTCCTGATTGTTTTTGATTGAAGGAAAACCGAGAAGATAAGCTGCCACTGTGGTGATACTGTGCCTGTGTCCATTTCAACAATAAGCCTGGTCACTTTTTCTTATTCTTAAAAAGAAAAACAAACCTAAAAAACAATATTGAATTTGTCATAATAATAGATGTTTGTTTGCTAAATCTCATATTTAGCTCATAAAGCTCCACTGCTATGTGCTGTCATGTTTCTTAATTGCAAACTTATTTTATTTTTTTAAACAAGTGTTCTTCAGTATCATAATAGCATTGACTTATACTAACCTTTAGATAGTAGCTCTTGTACTTGTTTCACACATCACATCCTAATGACTCTGGGGTCATAGACTGTAGATAAAGATGGGAGACACTGTGACGTCATGTGTTTGTTAATGAAAACCCTTTGTGAAGCCTAAAGCCACAACACTACAGGCTTACAGTCTAATGACAATCACATGCAGCTAGCTATGGAGCAACACTAACAGTGATTATGATTTACAAAATGAACTTCACTTTCAAAACTAGAGGCTGAGCCCATAAACTCAGCCACAAAGTGTTTACTGAGATCATCCTGGATGTATAGACCTCTATCCTGTGTTGCTTTGTTTTTATTTGGGGGGTTGGCCATTAAAGGAATATAGTTTTGATGGACTTCTTCTTTGCCTTCACTTTTCAGACCGAGCGGCCTGTGTTTTACACATCTATATCATTTCAAATCATAGATGGTATGGAACAGTTGGACATAGTGAAAGTGGCATCAACAACATTTGTTGTTTACTTCTATTCTGAAGCCTTCATTTTAGCTTAATGGCCAAAAGTGAACATATTTCACCCAAAGCTAGCTAAACCTGGTTGGCAAATTGCATCCATAGACTATATGGGTGCAGTTGTTATTCAAAGAATGCCATATATTATACATTACTTTTTTTAAAGCGTTATTTAATTATTCGCTGGTGAAAGTAATTTGTTACTCTACTGGCATAATTACTAGTTAACAATACAAACCTAAGGCAAAGTAGGGGCAGCCACCTGCTGCAACTGGTTGGAGATGAGGGGAGGAAGACCAAACAACAGTCTACAGTCTCAATCCCTGTTCTAATCAGAAACACGAATATGATCTATTTTTTAGTGTTTAAGTTTGAATACAATGCTGAAAACACAAAGCAAAATTGAAAATAATCTTAAAGAGACAATTTCTCCTGTTATTGGCAGAAACATGACTTCATAAGACCAGGCTCTGGCTGCTGGGCTGGGGTCAGCATATACTTATCTTTCTGCTAGCTTTGTACTAGCATGCTGTCTGTGCAGATGTTTGCATGAACCCCATCCACCTCATCCCTGCACACGTGCAGTAGGAAAAAGGGCATGTTTGCTGTTTTAGTTCCATCCTGCCATCATGATGAAGAACTTGCATATCACAAGTAACATCATAACTGTAACTGTAATGTGATTACTGAATTTGTATTTGAAATGCTCCAAAAGGCACCAACACCACAAACATGACTGAGAGGTCTAGGACCAAGGTCAGCGACTCCAATTATCTGAGGTCAGAGCTAGCCAATTGTCTCAGGAGCTAGCTGTCAGCTGGAGACCACAAAAATGCACAACATTAAGGATGAAAACAATATAAATGTTTACAGAGCTCACTCATTTATTAGCCATGAAGGATATAAGTAGCTACAGAGACTAAAACATTTTTATTGTGCAAGGCTCTAAACTTAGCTCTGCTGTAAACCTAGATATTTTAACATGAAAATCATGGGCACTGACTCACTTTTCAAGCCAGCCTCTAGATGCCATTCAAGCAGCAGTTTTCACTCTTCTACACTGGTCTAATTTTTCAGCCCAAGAGGCTGTCGCTTAATGACTATCTGTTGACTTTGAACAATAAGCATTAATCAATAATTAATCAGTAAGAATGTGCCGGATATGGATTCATTTAACCTTATTTCTAAAAATGCTCAGAAGAGAAAACAGAGTCTAACGCTGTTACAGCAAAGTTGTGCTATTAGCCTGTGGAGCTAGGCTTTGTTTTCTGTAATGAGAATTCATACCACCCACTGCAACAGTGTGGTTTAGTAACATGTTTAAACAGAGAGATTACTGGAGCTCTTTGGCAAAAGATTATTAAGCTACATCAGGTTTTGGACAGTGAGTCAGACAATACAGGCTTGTTGTTTTAAGAATTAATAGAGAAAATCACCAGCCTTGTTCTTGAAAAACGAACTGGAGCTCTGAACAAATCGAGATAACGGGCTCCTGGGCACTGAAATGTAGGCCACCCACCTCTCTTTACACAGAAGCTAAGCAGGAAAAAAAATGTCTTTTTGTAATCATTCTGAATCCCCTTGTGCCTATTTTGCATCTCTCTGTAGTCATTTTGTGTCTCTTTGTAGTCATTTTGCATCCCTTTGAAAGTTGCTTGACTTTCCTACAGGAAACATTCAGAGCTTTTTAACTGGTTCAGGTGGCTCCTGGGCATGTGGCCAGTGGGCTTTTTCAGTAATCCACCCATGGCTCAGACAACCAAAGCTCTTTTTTTCAAACCAAAGATTTAAGCTCCCATTTCATTGCGGACACTGGTTTATATAAGTGACAAATGCAGTCACTGAAAAGACTCTAACAACACAATCCCCCACACATAAACCCCTCTGCTGGCCATCATTTCAACCACAATAACACCCCCCACACCACTGGCTTTATGAGACTTTGTCATAAAGCCATGTTGTTTCGCAAGGGCAGCTGAGCTCACTCCTTTTTCTTCTTTTTTTTTTAAACGTTGTGCTGTCATGACAGCAGCTAACAATCCAGCTGCCGTGTGAAGTGTGAGATAAATGCTCTGCTCACGCTGCAGCCTTGTCCAGAAGAGCGGAGAGGAAGAAAGATACTTGTAGCGATCAAGCCTGAATGGTTCTCTCCATCTGTGTAATTGGTTGAAATGAGCTATGAGGACCACCTGCTGACTGTCATTCAGAGCTCTTTTACATGGAAACTGTGCCCAGTGTCAGAGAAAGAGGCACACAGGGAACGTCATCAGCCCTGCTCTGTAAAATTCCTCGGAGGAAATTAACTCCTGTGCATTACGAGATCGATTATATTGTGGTCGGATTATCTTGGCTCTTACTTTATGTAACTAAATATCCACAGCGAATGTTTAAACTGCATTCGACTGAGATAACGGCTATTTAGATAAGTGCAAATTTAAAATTAAAGCGATTGTTATGTTGTGCAGCTTCTTTGCAGCATAGCCAGTTTAAAACAGCACCAGTCAACATTTAAGATAAGCTGTAATAAATTTACATAAATTGTAATAACTTTGCCAAGAGTTGGCGAAAACCAAAACCTCGCTTTAAAGCAACATGCCCAAACACCAGCTCATCCCTCAGTGTTTGACTATGCAGCACCATATTTTCCACTAAAAGAGACCCACAGTAAGTAAAGTAAAACTTTAATTTATAGCATTTTTTAAAAACACGACAACAAATAGTTACCCAAAAGCAAGTTTAAAAAGGCGAGTAGTTTTCAGCTGCTTATTGAAGATCTCAGGCTCAGAGGGAGAAAGCTCCAGAGTCTGGGGAGCACACTGATGCAAAACGTTCCCACAGCCAGCAGAGCCTGATCACATGACCCCAGAGACCTGCTGGGGATGTATGGATGTAAAAGTTCACTGATGATCGCTGGTGCTCATCCATGCAGAGACAAAATCAGAATCATACAGCAGATCCTGTAGTTAATAACAATCCACTGCAACTGAATTACCAACTTTAATACACATCTTTACTGCTTCTATAGGAATTAAGAGGGTCAGTAGCAGCCAGGTGTTAATAATTGAGATCATTTTCTTAACTCATCATCAGCAAGTGTGAGCGCCTCTATAAAAGGAGAAGTCTTGGCAGTTTGCTGATCTGGACTATTCAGACCACTGTGTTTGGGGAAAAAAACCCGGGCACCTTGCAGACTCGATCATTAACTCCTCTGCATATCAAAATAATACAGTGTGAGGCTGTCGGTCAGACATCTAAACTGTGGCTGAAAGTGGGTCATAGAACAGGACAATGATCCCAAACACAGCACGAATCTACAACAGAATGGCTTAAAAGTAAAAGAATAAAAAGTGCTGCGGTCCATACCTCAACGTGACTGAAATGCTGTGGTGAGAAATGAACAAAGCTGTGTGTAAATAAAAGCCTGCAAACCTCAACGAACTGAAGCAACGTTGTAAAAAGCAAAAGAAAAAAAAGAAAAGGAAAAAAAGAGCCGGCCAAAATTCCTCCACAAAGATGCGGGAAACTGATAAAGTCAAACAGAAAACAATTCAAGTTATTACTGCTAACGGTGCTTCTACCAGCTACTAAATCATGAGGTGTACTTTAGTTCATTCACAGGACTGTAAAAAAATCCCTATGAACACTCCGTTTTTCACAAGGACTGTATTACTCATTTCTTATGCATATTCTGAAGGACAGAGTGCAGCCTTGTGTGAACCCGTGTTAATGTAAATGATATTAAACATGCTCCAAATTCACAAACCGTTCCCACTTTTACACCTTCATTTTCTCCACTTAACACATTCAAGCTGTTATGTTTAAACTCGACTGCTACGCTCCTATTTATATTCCTATTTATTGTGCTGCATCTTATCATTACTGCAATCACTTATGTTCCACTTCTGGAGGTCACAAGCTTAATAAGTAAACCAGGGCAAGAAAATGAAAGATCGGCTGGGGTCTGGATTCATTAAAGGAAAATTCACTCAACAATCAACGGTAACAGCCTCAATAGGGCTTAATTAGTGCAGATGAAATCTTGGGTTTGTAATTAGTGCGTATTAAGCAAGGGTTGACTTGTTGTGCGGGAGAAAAAAAAAAGCACATTACATAAGTAAACTGCTTTTTTGTTAGCTTCCTTCTACTTCTACTGTGATTGTTTGAATACAAGATATCAATATCTATACAGCAGTTTTCCAGGGAAATGAGGGCAACAGCCATTTAATTCATTTCCTATTTTTACCAACTAACCAGGGGAATTGACTTTACAACCTTCTCTTCAATAGTTTGTCTGCTGCCATCCCATTAAACCTCAAAATAAACCTAGGCTGAAGGTCATTGCTTGTTTTGGCCTTCACCCATCTTTTCATCTTTTTTCAGCCCCTTTTATGTCTTTGGGCCTTTTGCATTTATGCCCACCAACTGATGACAGCAAATCCTTCGGCCCACTCGTTCATAACGCTGGATGCAGTTAAGGTAATCCACAATGTAAATAAAATCCTCATTACTGTTACATAAATCTGTCACAGTCTCCTCTCTGCAAGTCTGCCCCCCCCAACAGACGTGTGCATGGTCTGGCAGTCAATTACATCCCTTCACCTTCACAAAAAAAGAAGAAAAAAAAGCCCCCTCCACCATGGCAGGGGAGGCAGCAGAGCCCCGTATCTTTATCTGATCTTTATCCTCTCTCAGCAGCACGAATGGGGGGAGCTGTCAGTCTAAAACTCCAGCTAGCCAGAGCTCGCCGGAGTCCTCTTTAATGCAAAGCATCATCTCAACATAGACGCTGGTTAGGCAGTGAGGTTGAAAACGACAAGAAGTCAATCTCCACACGTTTGAGAGGAGGTATCCAACTGCAACATTATAAATATTCATGATGCACGTAAACAAATAGAAAATGTTTGATTAGGACTGATCAGTAAGGTATGAAATGACAAAAACAAAGCCTTCCTGGAATCATATTTTACACATGACCTGTTCACATATAACAGGAGAAACAGTGGCATTTATTAATGTCTCCCCGCTAACAATTGATCACACTCGTTTGGTTCTCCCTCTGGTCTGTGCTTCTATGTCACTGAGTTCAGAGGACATTAGTCATCTGCCGACCTACAATCAGCCCACATTAAGGTTTCAGTCGTCATCAATAGTCCACCACCATCCATCCTCACTATATGTTTTATGCAGGTTCCTTCTGACCTCATATTAAGCGCCTTTTCTTCCCTCAGCCGCTGAACCCTGACGCAGCCTCGTCTGCTCAGATCAATAGACTAGGACACAAACCCAAGGCACAAACATCAAAAAGTTTTCTGTGTGCTCCTTTCTCCTTTCATCTTCTTCTTTAAAGCAAAGAGATGGCAGCATATGGAGTGTGTCATTCTCAAGGACAGTTCAGTTCGTCGTGTGACCGGACTTGGCAGAACAAGATAGTACTTATGATTGCCTCTGGCCATCTCACTCCACTGAAGAAGATCTCTCCCCCTTAGTCCCTCAGCTCATTCCCTCTCGCATCTATTGGCTTCCATCCATCTTACTCTTTTCTCTCTGTCTGCAGGCCTCCATCCCCAAGTACTCGTTTCTTGAGTACATCCAGTTTATCGGTGGCCAACGCTTCTCTTAAGGCCCCGAAGAAGCCGTGATAGTGGGCTGTGTTGTGGATCATGAGTAGAACTCCAGCCAGTAGCTCATTGGTCACCAGCAGGTGGTACAGGTACGCCCTCTGGTGGTTCTTACAGCAGTAACAGCCACACCCCTCCACCAGCGGCCTAAAGTCGTCCTGATACCTGGGCAGAAGTTCAAACACAGTTTGAGTTTAAGTAGAATTCATGAACAGGCATTATAAATGTAAATTAGGTCTTCAGCAAACACATGAAAGAAAAGAACTTGCAAACACTGCTACTTAGAAAACCCACTGGGGTATTACAATAGCTGCTACGAACCTTTTCTCTTTGAGGTTCATCTCAAAGGGTGTCATCTGTGTTTGATCATGACGATTAAGATCGCCATTCTGCTGGCTCTCCCCTGCTGTCGCCTTCTCTTCGTTCAACTCCAACACTGCCAAAACATGCATGCATCGTATAAATCCCAGCATAGATCCCTGGCCAAATGGCATGTCCCATTGCAGTATGACAGCAATAATCAAACACGTATCACCGCAGCTAACACTTATACATCCTTTTTTTTTCCCCCACTATTTGAATATAACATCCACAGTCACTGTTGAAAATGGCATTGGCTCCAATTGTGGCTGCAGCATGAGTGATTGAAGTCATTAATGCAAAGGGGGGTGGGGGTGTAGGCTAAATACACAGCTGACTCAAACATTAAGATGCAATTTTTTTTACAATATTGGCCATCCAGATGCATAATATTACCTATACTGATATTATCAACAATAGCAAAGTGAGAAGCAGAACTAACAGACAAACTGAGGCATTTATGTGTGTAGCTGCTAATAAACAACAAACACCCAACATACAGCAGAGTAACATAGGCAGAACTAGAGCTAACTGAGACAGCCTTTACCAAATCATAAAACAAAACCTTCATTGGCAACCTGCACAATCTACAGTACTCAGTCTTCCACGGACCCGGACTTTCTTGTATTTTTTTAAATGGTCTTTAGCAATAGTTCTCGAGGCTTTCTGAGGATCTTTTAGGGTTTTTCTTTGGGCATTAGTGAAGTGATTCCCAAAGACCTATTAACTCAACCTCAAATCTCAGTATGCTGTGTGGTGTCTCCTTCAAAAATTGTCTCATCAGAAATGTCTCAGTGGCAGAGTGGCTATCAAGAAGCCATCATTAAGGAAAGGAAACATGGAGAAGAGACAGAGGTATGCCAAATTACACAAGAATCAGTGAGCACAGGACTTATGGAGTGATGAATCAAAATTTGTCATCCATATATATGTATGGAGGAGCTCGGCAGACAATATTGAGTGTCTACATTCATCTTTGAAACACGTTTCAGGCTCTGTCAAGGTTTACGGCTCTATTTCAACCATTGCTGTTGGGGCTCTTGTCAAAATTGCTGGAAAAATGAAAGCTGAAAAGTACCATCAGCTTTAAATCTGCCATGGAATACCGTCTGGAAAACGTAGATAGGAAAACTCACAATGCAATACTATCAGTTGTGCTCTTTATACTTTATTTCCACCCGTTCAGTTTATTTCACGTCTCAATAAATATTTCCACCCATTTCACATTTTCCAAACAAAACATAAAAAATGAGGGGCGGCTCATGACTTCCGCACAGTACTGTAGTTTCATAGGCTTTGAATGGTAACTCTTGTTGAAGAAGAGCGGTTTTTAATAAGAGGGCTGTTGTTTAAAGAAGGACCAGATCTCTAGCCAGAAACAGACAAAAGATACAAGGAAGACTGGAGGGTTTGCTGGAGAAGAAGAAGAAAAAAAAGTGATCCATAGCAATGTCTGTTATTAAAGATAGAGATTAAACGGTAAGAGAAGAGCATAATGGGTTTAGTGGAACCCAAGAGAGGTGATGCAGAGAGCAACAAAGTGCATAAACAAAGCAGAAAACGAAAATTATCATGGTGTCTGTGTGGAGCTTAAAAGGGGAGGTGATAAGCTTCAGAATAAAACTGGATGGAATGAAGCTTGACCAAAGCTAATAAAACATCAAGAAGCGAGAAGTAACTTTCACTTTTGCACAAAGAAAAAAAGCAGCAACAACACAAACTGGATCTAAGAAGAAAGAGACTGGAGTTCGAAGGCTATCATTGTCACAGGCCCTTCATAAAACCATAAGAGAGGAAACGCAGAACTGCATCTCACACTGCTGCGTGTAAAACACATCTAAAATGTGTACTCTCATCTATTTGAACTAATGAGCCAGGTCAATGAGTTCATCTTTACAAACATTTAAATTTATATGATCTGAAGTTAGTTTAAGCACTATAAGTCAGAGGCAGCAGCGACGTCATTACCGCCAAGCTGATAAGCTGCGCTAGTTAGCTTTTACAAGGAACAGCTTAGAGCCAAACAAATTTAGCTGCAATTAGCAGACACACAAGCTGTGCAAGCTGTTTTTACCTTAAATTACACATTTCTATGGCGTGATCGTTTTCATACGCTAAAATCTCCTTAGCTTTGTCTCAGATAAGCAGTTATCCTGCCTTAAAGTGGCAGAAATAGCAGTGAGGACACATAAAAAGATTGGAGGGGCTTCTAAAAATAGGGAAAGAAGCCGTGTGACAGATGAATACTTTAAGTGGGTGACAAGGGAGGAACGGGTGAATTAGCATATGCTCTGACACATCTAAAAGAACCTTAACTGGGAAGCGAGGGTGTTGACATACCTCCCACGGGGCTGTGTAATTGGCTGAATGGTGAATTAGAATTTCTCTAAGGGTCCGACACCTTCACTGAACTCCATTATGCTCCATGTGCAGAATCGATTAATGCTGTCTGGCACTGCATAGCGCCAGATCCCAAACTCCCCTCTGTCAGATGAGTTTAATACAACTTCTTACTAGGGTACAAGGAGCGCCAAGGCTCCTGTAGATTCTCACTGGGGATAGCGATCAGGATGGCTGTAACTCTGCTATCAGTTTGATACCATTTCACCCATCATGAACTGCATTTCTGCTTGTAAGTGATTTTGTGCTTCTACAATACACACAAACACAAACAAAAGCATAAGTTACAAGCCATCATACGCACATCAGATGTCAATGATCACAAGTAACACTTAATTTCTATTCATTACTTGAAAACCGGCCGCAGCAGCCGTCAGCCTCGTTTCTCACCAAATTAAAATTAGATAACGGCATCACTGTGAGATGAAAGCCCTTCGTCCGTTTGTTTAAGAACCAGGAACATTAACTCCATCCTTTTTTAACTCACCATCAAAGGCTCCTCCTATGGAAATTAACAAATCTGCTAGAGCATATTTAATCATCACTTCTGTTTTATCAGTTAACTCAGACTCGGTGCCATTTAAGACATCAAAGTAGCGTCTGTTCCCTTTTCTAAAGAATTAACACTAATACTTTTTCATACATGAAATCCACTATATTTATATCCTTTTAATCTTTTCACACTGCTCTGGTCATACCTCTTTAATCCACTATTCTGTTTATCACTAATGTGTATTCAGGGTTCATGCTGGAATACAAGTGAAAGGCAAAACTATGGAATTATTAACAATAAAATAAGATGTTTTATTCATGGAGTTCGGTCCTGAGGGGCTGCATGCATGAAACATAAAGAGCTTATAGATTTATATGTGTGCACAAAAACTACTAATGAAGTGAACTTTCTTTTCACTTCAGTTTAATTTTACTGGCTGTAATGACACAACTTCAGCTGATAAATGTGAGGAGGTCTAAAAGTGCTAACTACGTCTCAGCACAGCTCTTCACCACACCTGCAGGGGGCGCTCTACCTGCGCGCTCTGGGTCCGTGGAAATGTCAAAGCCGAAGGAGAGAGCGCAGCCTCGCTCCGTCGCCAGGAAGGGGAAAAAACTCTCAAACAGGTCCACGCCGGCCTCGACGCACGCCAGCACCTCATCAGGTCGTCCCACACCGTGCAGGAGTCTGAGAGTCACACGCACACACAAACGCGCACAAAGACACCAAAAATCAATAGCCTGAACACTCAATAAATGAAACGTTGATGCAAAATGTCAACAACATATTACTGGCAGACAAAAGCCTTTCACAAACACCAGCAGCACGCTTCTTCTCTGGAGTGTTGGTTGGCTCGTTGTTGCCTTCCCCATTTCCCGGGCTCCTCCTGACTCTCTGCCTCCAGGCATCAAGGTCAAGGCGAATTTAGCATTCGATAATGACTCCTCTCCACTTTCTGGTAGGAAGCTGCTTCTCTAACAGCCAGAAAAACCAGCGGGGATGCTGCCCTATGGTGTTCCAGATGAGCCTGTTAACAAGCCAACTTAGGGAAGCTCCTGATCACAGACCTCTCATTTCTGATTACAGTAGCTCTGTGTAGCTCCACTCTTTAAGCCACGAGCAGAGCTCCTCCATCCCCTCCCAGAGAGGTGGGCTCATGTGACATGATCTCCAGAGAGTAAACTCCTAAAGGATGATTCAGTGTGGAGGAACACCCCCCCGAAGTCTCTAAAGGGACTGTAGTCTGCCATGTTTTAAGCTGCATAGAAAGATGTGTCTGAGACAAATGATTATCTGTCCAAACTGATCTAAATTAATTATCCAACAGGACAAAACGTACATTGTATTTAGGAGCCAATCTTCAACCGAGGTCACAATAAACTCCTTATCAAAATAGCTGCTAATGAGTTTTTAACCTTTTCCCCTTTAATTAAATTAATGATGTATCTAATAAAGTGGCAGTGACTGTGTATCATGCTCTTAGAATTGTAAAAGGAAATGCGGACGTGGATTTTCCAACTTAAAAAATACTTTTCTCCTTTTTCCTTTTTGAATGTGTGCATTTTGTCTTATAAAAGTGACCCAAAAAAACTGTCTCAGCAAAGAAGAAATGTAATAAAGAGCAGCGCAACGGATGAAAATTAAATGACACCAGCACTTTAAGGTCGAGCTGAGATAATGAGCGGTTGGAGATTGCGGAGGGGGTGGGGGCGAGGCAGAGCTGCTGGGTTTTCACTTATAATTAATCAAGCAGGACAATTAATTGATTTTGCAGAATACATCAAATGCGGCTTCTCAGCCTCTGAATTATAACGTCTTTACACATTAATTGCTACATTTATCAGAAATGAATGAGCAGCTAATCGATCTGTCAGTTAAATAAGACTTAATGTGTTCCCCTGTGACAAAAACGTGGATTGCCTCTTCAAGACGTTCACAAATAAAATCAGTACAGTCGGTTGTTGTTGTCCATTTCCACTCTTCTATTTAGTTTTATCTTGTTGCCAGTGGAAATCCTAAATTAAATATTTGACCGAGTAAACATGACTATTCCATGGTAATGGGCATTTTTCAGTAGTAATGAAAACAATTATTGATGCTGAAAATAATGACTAGTTGTTGCCCTGCAGTGAGATTCTGTGTAGACACAAAGCTTCAAAAGTCAGATCTCCAACTGCTAGATAAATGCACAGCGTGGAAGAAATTGTCCTGGTGGCACAAAATGAAAAACAGCAGCAGAGAGGGCTCGTTTGTTTAGCCCCACTATTGCTCTTTCTGTTTGGTCCTGCCTGACTGTGTTCGGTGAATGCTTTCCAATTCAATGATGGGAAAAACTGTTTGAGCTGTAATCAATTCACAAAGGTCACGTAGCCACGAGAAGGCAAACCTGGGTTTGTCCTCAGGCAGCTCCTTGATCATAGCAGTGATGAGCTGGGTCCTCAGAGTTTGGTCCATGGAGCCCGTCTGGAGGCCGTCCAGGCAGAATCCTGCCACGGGCCTCTTGGCGGTCTCTCTGGCAGAGCGTACTCTCTCTTCCAGGATGTCGCCTCCTTCCACCACACCAAACACCTCCACTCCCTCCAATTCCTAGAAATGACAGACAGCGAGGGGACTAGAAACTGCCAAAACACTCCAAAATGACAAAAGAAAGAAGGAGCCAAGAGATCAAAATCTAGATTTTCATGGGCATGCACGGTCCTTGACAAGATTTGCAGCTGCAAAAATAAATAAATTAAAGGCTTTAATCTTGCCAGAGCCCATCTGCAAGTTTGTACATTCAAGGCACAAATTTGACTGCAAGTCACGAGGAGCTAAGACAGTCCCCGTAGCACCCATGTCATGAATTACCTGCAGAATGCTGTCAGTCCTCTCTGCTTAATGTGACTCCAAACTCTCAGTTTATTGTCTCAAGGAACATTTGGTTTGCGTTCAGGTGAGGAAACAGCTTATAAATTTACAAGCAATTAGCAAAGACTTACAGAACATATATAAGCATAGAAAAAAAAACACTAATATGTCCTAGGGCTAGAGGAGAACATTGCTTTTTTTTAATCTATTATCCACTGAGGCGTAAAAGAGCAAAGATGTCATATGCACGAGTCACGACAGTTCCCCCGCACCTCTTCATATTAATCCTTTTTACTCAGTCCACCCTCTCATGGAATGAGCCACTCTTTGACTGCAATCAAAAGAAAGCAAAGCAGACTATTCTATTAGTCATGCTTAATGCTGCACCATCACACACCTGCTGATAGTGTAGATACCCACTGATAATGAATTCATCCTAATCTCACTGAGCTTCCAGCTGTAGTACAGATGCACAGCAGCCCCTGTCACAACTGCACTAACATCAATCTTTGTCTTGTGTGTCTGTGCGATGCATGACTCACTCGCAGATGCAAGCGTGCTCAGCGGCTGATAAAGTGTGTGTTCACTGTGTACCTTTGATTTTTGGTGCACCAGCAAACACTCGTCCAAATGAGCGAGAGTCCGATCCACCGACTTTCTGACCCGTTTGCGAGAAGCGCTGTTCTGCCAGGTCTCTCCGTCGCACATGCTCTGGTACCAGTCTGGCTGTACGGTCTTCTGAAAAGCCATGAACTTGGCCACCGTTAGTTCTATCCGCCCACCGCTGCCCCACACTGACACCGTCTAATAACAAAGCAAAAATATGTGAGAAACCCATTTCACCTGTGATCGCACCCAGCGGTAAAGTCACCAGGGCCTTTAGTTTACCACAGCGTGAGCAATGTCACCTTGTTGGTAGTGTAACCCGTCGGGCTGTGCGTGGCAGGGTCGTGAAGGGAGCAGTAGAGCACAGTATCATGAAGACCTGAAACCAGACGTAACTGCATCACTCACAGCAGCAAAGGAGTTAAGAGGGTCGAGCGTGAAGCCAGGTGACAGAGCGAGGCGCTTCGACTCTGCATGTTAATGTGACGACTGAGAGAGGAACGAGCTGTGTCCTTATCAGCAAACCCAGCCGCTGCAGAGGATCAGAAGGTGAGAAAACAAAACTGTCTAATAGCAGCAAAGGCTATTCAATCACTGCTTGTCCCTTCAGGGGCTTCAGAGGCAGAGGCAGTAGTAATCAATGATAGTTTATTCCAAGTGATGATATCGTGGTAACATGTCTAATTTTCTTAAAGTGGCTGCCTGAGGCTGGGTGAAGCCCAGGCCACGTCCACAGCAACACATTTTTGCTTTCAAATTTACAGCTTCTTTATTTACACCTACCCATCACACCACTCTGGCATTTTAGCTTCCCTAAACGGGAGACTAAATAATTTTCAGTGTATTAAAATAAAAATGCAGTTGCCATTTTTTAAAGGTTTATATGGTTGGTAAGCATGGCACACTCACCAAAATGCTGCACATTTGCTTTCATTACTGTACTTCTAGAGGAGCTCAGACTGAATTTATCCACACATGTCTAAATGAATGTGTTTATTATGAAGGAGGAAGCGTTATCCCCTCCCCCCAATTTCTCTAGCCACACCCATACTCAATTGAGAAATCACTTAAATAGGACCTGTATGAGAAAGTGGAGTGAAGCAAAAAAAATCCTCAAAATCATCCCACGATCCAAGAAAACAAATAAAAAACAAATTTTAACTGCAATCTATCAGCCTGCAAAAGGTTATCAAGTCATTTCTAAAGCTGTTGGACTCCAGCAAACCACAGTGCGAGACATTATCCACAAATGCTGAAATCATGGAACAGTGGTGAACCTTCCCAGAAGTGGCCGGCTGACCAAAATTAACTCAAGAGTGCAGCGACGACCCATCCAATATGTCACAAGTATCCCTGAACAACTTGCAAAGAACTGAAGGCCTCACTTGTCTCAGTTAGCGTCAGTGTTCATCACTCCACCATAAGAAAGAAACTGGGCAAAAATGGCCTTCATGGCAGAGTTCCAAGACAAAAACCACTGCTGAGCAGGAGAAGGAACATAAAAGCTCATCTCAGTGTTGACGAAAAACAACTTGATGATAAACAAGACTTTTTGTAAAACACTCTGTGGGGTGATGAGACAAAAATTGAACTTTTTGGAAAATTGTGTGTCCCATTAAATCTGAGGTAAAAGTAAGACAGCATTTCAGAAAAGAAAGATCATACCAACAGTAAAATATGGTGGTGGTAGTGTGATGGTCTGGAGCTGCTTTGCTGCCTCAGGACCTGGAAGACTTGCTGTGGTAAATAGAAAGAGGAATTCTGCTGCCTACCAAAACATCCTGAAAGAGAATGTCTGGATATCTGTTCAAGCTAACCATGACCTCTCTTCTCTATATGGATTTATTTTTCTTTTGTTAACGTGTAATATGCCACTCTGGAGCTGCTCCAATAACAAATCCACTACTCTACACCCACCTGTGGATCAGTAGTCTCCTGTATGGTTAAATATGTGACTCGTCAGATGTGCTAAATTAATTTATTGTGCCATAAATCTAATAACAAACAACAATAATAATAGTGATAAATGGAAAAAGTCTGAATATCAGCTTCAATAATCAGAACGGCAGATAATCAGTCAACCCCTCTGCAACACTTCATAATATCCAGTTAGGTAAAAAAAAAAGAAAAACAAGAAATGATGATAGATTACCTATTAATCAATACTGAATACATATGAATACATTGGATAAGCTCTGGTGTCATCATAATTTAAGCGTAATTAATGGTGTCTTGTTTGAACACCTGTCGTCCTCTTCTTCTTCTGCTCTCATTACTCTCTGTAAGATAAACATGCTGAAAGGAAAGAGAGAAAGAGGAAATTATGAAAAATGTAAATTTTTACCTGCGAATTTTCTGAATCCATCCTTAAACTCCTCCAGCACCTCCTGGTGCTCAGCTCTAGAAGGAGAATGGTTGAGATGTGGTTTAGATTTGAAAAATAAAAGGAGATCACTGTGCGTGCTTTGGCGTTTCCATAATGGGACAGCTTACATGTGGGACAAAGTGATCTGAGTGACAGAGGGGAGACTGATCAGCGTGTGCAGTGTGTCCTGAGTGAGGTGGGGAACGGTGCCAAAGTGTGTGTACAGCAGACACCCCGGGATCTCCAGTGAATGCTGCCCCGTCCTGCCCAGTCCCTTCAGGACACCCAGCCGACTTCTTCCCTGAACCACGCGGGACAGCTCCAGTTGCATCCTGCTCCCAGCCATAGCAAAAACTCCAGTCGAAGCGCTAAAAGGACTCCCTCCAACAGCTGAAATAGTACGAGTGTTATTGGTTTTGACTTAGCCACGTAGCTAGCTAGCCTTCCCACTCACGTGTATTTGGAATATTTACCGCTCTAAGTCCGACACTTGGATGAAACCTACACACTCACAGGGATGCTTGTTTACGTGAGAAACGCTGAAAATCAAACCAACAAAACCTCATGGGCTGACAGGAACTACAAGTCGCAGGAATATGTCGTCATCAACGGCGAAGGCACCGCTTAAAAAAAAGTTCGGGTCATCTCAAGAACCTTTTTTTTCTTCTCAAAACATTCAATTGTGGCGTTATAGGTGGCACTCCATGTAGGAAAAGCTCTTTAAATTATAATTATATTTTTTTTAAATTGAATTAAACATTCTAATAATTAAACATTTTACATTAATTTGTTGAAAGACTTTAATTAGAAGCAAAGTATTTAACTACTTTATTAATACATGTTCGTTATCATTATTCTTTTAATGAATTTCAGTTCTCACTGAAGGACCTATCAAAGTTGCTATGGTGACCCAAGACGCTGAACCCCCAGCTACAGTCTTGTGGGAAACGTAGTCCTGAAAATCTTAATTTGTGGAACAGTCATCCAAAAAAGAAAGCCAATTTACTCCATTACCCAGAATCCACCATAACAGTAACTCGACGAGAGTTATGCTTACCACTTTTAGGTTTTCGAGCACTTTTTCTAATAACGTTTAAGCATATTTTGACGATAGAAATTGAAAAACGTTGACTGTTGCGCTTCGCGCACAATTTTAGTAAAGAAAAGACACCAACGTGATAACTGGGATTACATCATATTAAGGTGCAGTGCTGTATCAGGTGATTATGGCATTTCCAGGTCACAATTCTGACCTGTTTAGGTGGAGAAGAGTTGGCTCGGCAAACAAGGTAAGTCTAGTCTTTGGATTCGTGTAAATTCATAGACTGTCCTAAACTGAACGCTATACTGCATCTGTTTTCCCCAGTAATATCCCTGAGAGAGGGAAATAATTTGGCTAAATGCTCTTTGAATAATAAAGAAGGAAAAGCATATCTGTGTTATTACCGTGTATAAACTCGTGGCTCATGTCAGGGGCCCGTTCAGAAATGTCACCCGGCCCTATCTCTGATACTCACATGCTTGCAGGCAAGCTAGCAATGGCACAGACTTTTGGACGTGTGAGAAATGATTTTGAACTAACCTGCTGATTTGAAGCAGTGGCTAAGCTTTGCTGTGAAATAATCCGCAGACTTTAGGCCCTTGGCTCAGCCTCCAATTTGCAGACTGCCACCGCAGCTCAAAGTGTCTCTGAGCCTGTCTAGGCATTTTTAAGCACTCAAAGGTGACCATGAGGCCAGCATTTTTTTGTGTGTGAGAGCTCTTTGGTGTTTCTTACAGAGAATATTAGCTTACACTAATCTTTCTTTCAGATTCACGTAAAGAAAGGTGATATTGATCAGTGGAAGAAGGTAAGAAATGTGTGTGCTCAGTTATATATATTTTTTATTTATTATTGAGTTGAATGTCTTTGGGGGTTTGGGAATTGTGTGACGAAATTGTTAACTTCAGCTTTGCATGTGTGTGTCCTTTCCCTGACCTCAGCGAGTGGAGATGGCCTCAGAGTTTGCTGTGTCGGAAGTCTTCTCACACAAAAAACCTCATTCAGGAATCAGCAGCCTAGCTGTACCATTGCAAAGCACTGAACAGCTGAGAGATCATGATGAGGCTTACAGTGAAGGTAGGTGCCTTATAATAAATAATAATAAATAACCTGTCTGTGTAGAAATGCTATCTATATAACCACATAGAGTACAGCAAGAGGGATGATGATATATGGCCTGTTGTTTGTTGCAGCTCAGGCCCTTTTAGGTGACTGGCTGAGTAATAAGCTGCGGCTGGAGTTGGAGTTGGAGGATGAAGATGACCTGATGTGCTCTGCTGAGAGGACGGGCACAGCTGCATCAGCTAGTGCTGTGCCTGCTGCTTTAAACTACAACAACTTTGATGGTATAAAATATTACCTGATGAAATAACCCAAAACTCATTATTTATTAAGACCTTCTCCATTAGACCTGTGGCCCTGATGGACGAGGCGGTACAGAACACCTTTAAAGAAACAGTGACCTCTAGAAGATTTACTCATGATTATGAAAGGCTCATTCAAAATTCAGTGTGGGTTTTATATTGCTTCAAATGGCCTCTAAATGCTAGGCTTTATAAGAGTATTCAAAACAATCAGTATGCAGTACTGTGCAAAGGCCACCGCTCATTTATTTTTATTATTAAGCTTCCAAAGAACCATACTTTCTTGTAGTTTTTTAAAGTGACCAATAGTTCTCCAAGTCTCAATGTTTTTCTATATAAACGTATATCAAAGTACACTAGAACTGGACTGAAAATCAGTGGCAACAGGTTTGATGGAGTGATGATTCCAAGTTTGAAAATTTTGGTTCAAATCATCAAAATATATGGAGTAGGTCAGGAGAGAGGTGCAACATTTATGTGTTAAACATGTTTTATGTTCTGTCATGATTTGGGGCTGTATTTTACCAGTGGTGTTAGGGGTCTTGTAAAAATTGATGGAATTATGACCTCAGAAAAATAGGATCAAATTTTGATCCACCATTGCAACGCCATCTGGAATGCATTTGACCGGCAGCAAGAAAAACACACGATGGAACATTGTCAGTCATGGATTGGCCTTCCCAGAGCATGGATCTCAACATTATTGAGGCAGTGTGAGATCATCTTGACAGAGAACAGAAGAAAAGGTAGCCAGCATCTAAAGAAGAGCTTTGAATGTCTTTTAAGAAACCTGGAGAGCTATTCCTGAACACTACTTTAAGAAATTAGAAGAAAACTGCCTAACAGAGTTCAGGCTGTGTTGACGAATCAAGGTGTTCGTACCAAATATTGACTTTCAAGCATTCAGTTCATTAGGATTGTACAAACTGTTTTTGCATTTTATACTGCATGCACATTTTATGATAAATTAATTCACATTTCCTGCAAAATATAAAGAAAATATAAAGGTGGCTGAAGACTTTTGCACAGTACTATTTCAGTCTGCATTACAGTACCATTGGACAAAATGTTGCCTGACTTGGGCATCACACCATTAATCTTACAAGTATTGTGCAAGGAATTAAAAGCACTGGTTTCCAAGATAGAAGGAAATTAATATTAAAGCTCGAAATGTTGAAAAATGGTCATCAATAATGTGAAGTACAGTCTTTTACAAGTACTTCAGTTGTCATATTTCTTTTCCAAAAATACTTAGAACTCTATAACTGCCTTGTCGAGGAAGAAGAGCAGTCAGCTGTCAAAGGCTTCCTACAAGACCTCATGGAGCAGGAGCTGTTGGACTCCAGGATGATGGAGGATTTGGCACTTGATGCTCATCAAACCAGAAAAAGATTTAGAGACCCGATCGTTACCATGGAAGCCCGACACCAACAGGTAGTCCGTATCAAGAGATGCGAATGCTGAAGGTTTGGCTGTTGCTGTTGTGATGCATGTCGCTGAGCAAATCATCTGGAATGACGTGTGTTCGTGTGATGTTTGCAATTGTACAAAATGCTGCTCAATTCCAATGCAGGTGCGAGAAAACAGGGCCCAACGGGAGGCTGAGAGACAGAGGCAGCAGAGAGAGAGGGATGTCCTACGAGCTGCCAGAGAGGAGGCGAAGAAGAGGGAACAAGAGGAGCAGATGAGGAAAAGGCAGGAGAAACGCAGGCAGGAGGAGATGGTTCAGCAGGAGATGGTGAGGCTGAGGCGGCAGATGGAAGAGAGGAGAGGCCTGGAACAGACTGTTCGACGGAGGTAGGAAAAGGTTACAACAAGCCGATTTATCACCTAGCAGATCACATTGTTTGTGATCTGGCTTGCTTCACCTTCCTTCCTGGTGGAGAGAATGGATTAGTGGTAACCTGTTGACAAGGAGAGCTGTGATCAGCCATATCAGTCTGGTGAGCAAAGATAAAGCTGCGTTGTAAATCATGCTCTCACTATGAGTGTAAGGCCTTTCTTTACCACAGGAAATGTGTCATAACTTTAAATATTCCTCGTGGACAGCAGTCAGCAAGTGTCACAACATGGAAATAAACAGAAATCTTTATATCTGCGATGCTGTCACTATATCATATTAATGATTTTTTTGTCTACAGTTAATAATACTGACAAACTAAAAAGCCATTTAAGGAATTAACAAGAGAGCTGAGACTTGAAGGATTATGGGAGGTGAAGTGTTTAGAAAGAGACCACACATTCTCTATGAACTACAAAATGACACAATATATGAAACTAAGAAAAAGTACCACAAAAAATAGAAGATTTTATCCCAATTAGCATCATTGTGCTAACAGTCTCATGTTAGCTGGCAAGGCTAATGTTTGGCTACTATAAAACATATAGTAGCCAAACATTAGCCTATATAGCAACACCATTAGTGTTTCAGGTATTTGTACAGAAACCAAAAATATAATAATGGTTATATGGAACTTAGAGGTTTGAGTATTGAACAGGTTGTTGTTGATTAGTAGTCTGGGTCTGTGTGGCTCAGATTGGGCCTTTTCTGTGCAACTATCCATGTAAGAAAGTGATCACTCCATGTACAGGCACGAAGTCTGATATCCTCTTGGACAGGTGTCCATGCATCTTTCAGTTATTTCTGACCATTTCATAAACAACATGAAGCCCCTTTAGAGGAATGGTGTTATATTTTGTATATATTCATTTTTGCTTTATTTGTTCTTTTTAAATATACTTTAAGAAGTTTGTATTGCAGTCAAAATCAGATAAGGGCAGCACCATGGATGTTTATTTGGATTTGGACATGAGATTTGACCTTATTACATAAAATGATACTACAGTATCTCATTCATGACAGTGCTTTCTTGAGGTCAGAGGTCAAATGGGACATAATGTTTGGATGCAAACTATAGTGTGATATTTAGCATACCAGTACCATTTCTTACATTTACACGGGGTGCCTTAAGGCACACAGGTTTTTATGTTTGTATCTTCTGTGTTATGCACATTAGGTTTATGTATAATGAAATGTGCCACATAAAGAAAATTGCCATTATGTTTTATATATTAATGTACAGAGAGAGAGGAAGAGCAGAAGTGCAGATCACAGCCAGAAACCTCCATTCAGCTCCAACACCTCTCATTAAACAACAGCATGAGGACGCTAAGCGACTGTATCAAGAACAAATGATTCAAAGAAAGGTTCACATTAACAACCTTAAGGTTGGTACCTGGAAGCTAAGTATGTTTGTGTAAATACTGTAGATTCAGTTGTGTTAAGAAGTTTGCATACACTCGTCATGGGAGTGAATGTCATGGTAGTATTGGGCTTTCACTGATTCCTTTGAACTGGTCTTGGTGGATTGACTGTACAGCAGACATTTTTATTGGTAAACTTGACAAGACCAGAGCCTATTAACTTTCCATTAGTGATAATAATTGGCTACAACTGGTAGTTTCTTTTTCACAGAGTAAAAAGGATTTGTTTGACAACACTCACTGAACTGGCCAATACTGGCCAAGGAACTCGGGAAAAATCTAAGAAGAAAATATATTTACATAAATTGTCAAAGGTCACTTGGAACCATTTCTAAACAACTGCAGATTTCCAGATCAGTTCATACAGTTGTACATACGTACAAGTTATTCAGATGTGTCCCCAGTTTCTGAAATAAGACCCAAACTGTCACTCTCAAATAAGAGGAAATTGGTTAGGATATTCAGAGACCACCAAGTCTCAAGCCTGCTCTGAACTGGAAAGTGCTGGAATGCCAGTGTCTTGGCCTGGAGAAAGCTTTTATGGTCAGACAAGGCAAAGATTAGGCTGGTTGGCCCCAATAACAAACCTAACAACACTGTACCAGCTGTCGAGCATGGTGGCAGTAGTATCATGCTCTGAGACTGCTTTGCTGCCAGTGTCACTGGTACATTACACAAAGTGGATGGAATATTGAAGGAGGAGGACAGTTCAAGGAATCATTAAAAGCCCAAAATTACTATGACATTTATGCCCATGATGACTGTTCATAAACTTCTGACCACAACTGGTCAAATCATCTGGAATGGCGTGTGTTCTTGTTGCTATTATATTGTATACATATATAATAGCAACCTTGTTGCTATTATATATGTGAATTTATGTTTCGCATGAATTTGTGTATATGGTTTAGTGTCTGCAAAGGCATTTCTCTGGGTGGTATTCAGTCGTGCTGGACCGAAGGCTACGTATGGGTAAGGCCAAGGCTCTCTATGACTGGAAGAGGCAGCTAAAAGCATGGCGGGCGTGGCGAGCGGTGGTGTGGGCAGAACGAAAGCAGCGCGAGGTGGCAAGAACAGAGGAAGCACTGCGAACCGAAAGCAGGCAAGAACCAGAGATTGTAAACATTAAAGTAGCTCTTATTGTATCATCGATGCCCTCCCCTTCTACCAAAATCTAAAATCAAACTATTAATTGAGAGTATCTCAACAGGTCACTCATTGACTGAGAAGCATTTATATCCAGGGTGCAGTGACCCAGCAGTAATTGAGGGCAAGAAATATGATCACATCCGTATCTTCCTCCAGACAGTGCCAGCTGGCTGCTGAAAGTGACCGAAGGCGGTTGCTACGGCGATGTCTAAATGAGTGGCAGCTATGGTGTCGGACGGAGAAGGAACAACGTGAGCTTTTGGCCCGGCAGCAGGAAATCAAACAAAAGATGGCTGCTCTAATCAGTGCTGCATCAGCAGGCAAACTCAAGGCCACAGAAAGTCTGGCTTATCGGCCAATAATGGCCCCACCGGAGGCACCGAACCGGACCACAGAGAAGGTGAGACTCACAAATCCTCATGTCATCAGCAGCGGTGCACTCTCTTCATTAATGATTCCCACTGAACACAATCTGAAAAATATTACAGCGAGTGAAATCATGACTAAAACATCAGCTTTGATAGGCGGTGCTGAAAGCCTAATTACAGAGGCAATTACTGAGTTTCGGAGCTTAACTGAATGAAAAAATTTCCCTTTTAACGTTCCTCTTTGCATGAAATAACTTGACCTTTACTCAGCCCTTCAGCCAAAGAAGGTTTTGAAATATTTACAACTCTTTAGAGAGCAGGGATGATGAACAGGAGGGCAGAGACCTGATGGAAGAAATGCTGGAGAAACACATGAGATGCGTTGGCTGGTTTAACCTTTACAGCAGAGAGTTGTTTTGATGATGTTTTCTTTCCTCGTGTTTACTATCTGTCTCTACCGTGACTCTCTTATAAAGGAAAATGATGTAATTGTCACAGTCGGCTATGTGGGAGGCAGGAACTTGACAAAGAGAGAAA